AATACTAAGTAGTGTTTTATTTTTCCTTTTTATTATTCAGTTCCTAAACTCACGTTAAAATGACATTTTTATGTAATGCTCGAGTAAAACACATACCGTTCACTTTCAAAAGTTGTTGTAGGGGTGCTTTCTTATTAGAATCAGAATGAGCTTTATTCACCACTTAAGTGTGCGCAAACACAAGGAATTTATTGTGGTTTTACAGGAACTCTTGATACATACATACATACATACAAATAACCATATATATATGACACAAGATATAGAAGTTCACAGAACTGACTCAGCAACAGCTGAGTAAAACTGTTTCATCTGAGCATGTGGCACTTTAAGCATTATCGTATCGCATATCGCATTTTTCTTCAATATCGCACAGCCCTAAGTTAGACCCAAGACACCAAACACTTACCAGCTTCTCCAGCTACGACAGGATATACTGATGCCACAGAAACACTTTGTGTAGTAAATGAGTAATGTTGACTTGGAGGTAAGGAGTGGCTTTGTGAAAGGACGGAAGACACAGAGGGTGAAAACAGGTACGGCTGGATATTACAGCTATGATGTGACACAAGTTAACCCATTTAAAATGTTTAGCACAATTCTCACATTTAAATCATTGTTGGCAGCAGCCCTGGTCTTGTTTACAAGAGTGTAATGTTCATTACTCCAACTTTTAGACTCTGTAATGAACCATAACATACCCCAAGGGACTATACCAGTGGAATTTAGTTTGTTAATAATTTTGTTATTCTGAAATGTTAATATTTAACACAGCTGAAAGCCTAAAACAATACCATCTCTGAATAAATCAGCACAAACGTAGCACAAACCAATGGCATAGTTTTGGTGATTATTTCTTGTTATGGGGTGCCAACTTCAAGGAGGTTTTAAAGTTTTTTGATTACATTTTGATTGACGTGATATGAATTTCCACACTACATTTTCTCTTAATGGTGAATGTGTAATCAGGAAGAGTATAAACTGTATTTATGCTCAGTAATTTTTTTTCTTTTAATGCATCACATTAGACTTTCGCTGTTTTGCAAAACATCAGTTGCCCTTTTGTAAATTAACTTGAGTGAAAACCTTTGTTCCATAAAAAAATAATCTGTATGATATTCACATTCCCATTTTACTCAAAATAAAATAAAACATATTACTCTGATGTACAACTGCACATAATTAGAGTAGTAAAGATTCTGTGTTTTAAAAAGACTAGGCTAAATTACTACGTGTAAAGCTTATATAGTGCAACAAATTCACCAATAAACTACAAGTATCACTACTTTTCCTTTAATAATAGGCTACTCATTAATAAAATCAATACTCAAATAACAAAATATAGATGTTGAAATGTATTAAAAATTATAAAAATTTCTCTGCAGCTTTGTGGCACACTGTAGTTAAAATGACAACATTTAATAACACAGGAATGTCCTCGATTCTTGTTTAGTAATGGCCAATTTGTTTTTACACTACAAGTAATTTAGGGCATTTGTAAATCTTTGGCAATTACTGACTCTTACATCTGAACACAAGGCTTCAACAAAATTGCCAAATATTTATTTGTATTGCATTTTTGTTATTTGATCACTGAACAACTGTTAACTGTCACTATGATGTGGCCTCTGTCCGTAAATATCGATGTATTTATTTAATCAGCAAATTTGACTTGGTCAGTTAACTCATATATGCACTATTTATGGATTCAATAATAAGAAATTCAATAGGGCAGCTGAACTAACTTGCAAAATATTTAATCACGTGATGTAAACATTCACTGCTGGACCAATCAGAGAGCTTCCTACCTATTCAATCATACATTTGCTACACAAAGATATTAAACACGCTGTCACAATGAGACTTATATCTATTTGGTCAAATATTTGGTGCAAAGGCGTTGAGTAGTTATACAGTAGGCTATCTTTCACAAGAGTTGCCATCTCTTGCCTTCAACAGACATCAACATTTACTATTATCTCATATATTCGGTTATGAAAAGATCGCACACAAACGAAAGGCTATAAAACGGTATTTTCGGTGAAGGTATTTCTTTATTTTAATTAATTTACATTTTATTTCACAAAGTCGTGTTTCTTTGGCCCACATAAACAGTGACATGGCTAGACCCTCAATGAGTTTCTGCATGAACCCAGTGCAGTCTTCTCTAGCTGAAAGTGTTTTTTAAAAGCGTACGGTACTTACGGTAGGGTGGAAGACAAGGCTCAGAATAAATCCGGGCTGTTGAAGATCAAACCGCGACTTGTTAGCCACGGATCCATTCAGGCAGCTCTGAGTCTGCACATCCTTCCACTTCCGCAGGCGGGGCGTGATCCAAGCAGTGTGCGCAGAACCAGTTCTTTCCGCTCGCACTTGCGTGCATTTTACGCATATATTTTTGAGCTACGACAGCAATGAAAACATTTCATTTATATGAAGGTAAAATGACGTCAAAAAGATTTGCATACGCAGGGTAATATTTGTGGAAGTGTACATAAGACTGTAAGCGTAAATTAAATTTGCATGCGCAAGAGAAGCTTTGTAAAGGTGTAAATCGCGTTTCAAGCGCAAGAAAAAATTATTTGCAGCATTTTACTGTTACTCGTAAGTGTAATTCATGTATTGTGAAACTGCAGCTTCATGCTAACGCAAAATAAATATGATCTGCATGCTTCTGACCATTTTTTCCGCGCTTACACTTTTGGCACGTTTTTTTCGCCAAAAGACGGTCAAAAGCACTGCAAGCCTATTTTTTTCTTGCGCTTGAAACACGATTTACACCTTTACAAAGCTTCTCTTGCGCATGCAAATTTAATTTACGCTTAGTCTTATGTACACTTCCACAACTCATACCCTGCTTATGCAAATCTTTTTGACGTCATTCTACCTTCATAATTTAGCAGCATGTAATAAACACGTTACAGAGTTATATATATATAAGTATTATATTACCATATTGGCTATATGCACTAATACCCATTTAATTTCATACAACGCACTATAGCCTATTTACATGCGTTTTTTGTTATGAATTTACAAAAAGAAAGAGATCGGCAGACCAAAACCATAACTTATGGAGAGCATGGCTATTATAATAGTGCCAGCAACATTGCAAACCAGCCAACACTTGGTTCTAATTATCTAAACATAAAATATAGTATAGTTATCTAGAGTAGTGGTTCCCAACCCTGGTCCTGGAGGCACCCCAACACTGCACATTTTGCATATCTTCTTTCTCTGGCACACCAATTTCAGATCTTGGAGTCTCTACTAATGAGCCAATGACCTGAATCAGGTGTGTTTGATTAAGGATACATGCGAAATGTGCAGTGTTGGGGTGCCTCCAGGACCAGGGTTGGGAACCACTGATCTAGAGCAATTTCAGTTTGTGATATATGCATATTAGCATAAATCTATAGTCTTTGATGTAAAGCTTTTATGTAAAGCACAAAAAATAATGCATGTTACATTTATTTTTTTGTAATTATACAGCCATGCAATACGTTGTACTTTCATAACATTTACACAATATCCTGCAGACTCTGAGATATTATCTGGCCAATACTAAGCACAATACATAGTCGACTCACAATATTACACAGACCTTATAATGTAAAATTATATTAATCCAGGTACATCAGCACCAGTGACCGTGATTTCACCAAGTACATGTTCCTGGATCAACATCCTTGTTGATCCTGGAACAACATTCCAATCAACCAATCAGAATTGAGGCATAACTTTTCAGGAAATATCTGTTTTAGGCTTACGATCAGGGTTAGGTGCTTCTACACCCTTGGTAATCAGCTATCATTTCCCTCTGATTTTAGGAATAAATAGGGTTAGGTTTAGGGGTAGGGATTGGGTTTAGTCTATATATTTGGACAGTAATGTTGATCTAGGATCAACAAAAGATGTTGATCCAGGAACATGTCTTACTTCAAGAAGGTCGCTGTGATTTTGCCAAGTAAGACATGTTCCTGGATCAACATTACTGTCCAAAAATACAGACTTAACCCAATCCCCACACCTAAACCTAACCTTACCCATAATTTTTTTCCTAAAATCAGAGGGAAATGATAGCTGATTAACAAGGGTGTAGAAGCACCTAATCCTGATTGTAAGCCTAAAACTGTGCTTTCTTCTGCATACAAAACATACAAAAAAAGATGATCATTCTGAATGTGAAGAACATTGTACCCCATTGACTTTCTTCAAATTATACAGGTTCAAACATTCAGAGAAAAAACATCAATTTATCTTTGTGTTTGTGAGTGTGTGTGTGTGTGTGTGTGTTTTGCAGTAGAAAGAAAATCTAAACAGTTCGTAATGGCACGAGGGTGAGTAAATTATGTAAATGTAAACTACCCCCCAAATCATTAGATTTCAAACAGGAATCAACAAGTCGTTGATATCTGTTAACATTGGAAAGAATCAAGTGTTTATTGCGCAGCATTTCCTTACAAAAACGAGAATGTTGCAATACTGTTACAAAAAATGTTGCAAAGTAAATTAACAGAAAGACACAACGATTATGTGCTATAACAGAACTGTGTAAAAGAAATTCCCCTACCTTCAACAAAACACGACCATATTGAAAAGAGTTTCTATTTAGTGGCCAACTTAGATTAATATTTATTCTAGTTTTTTCTCTCTTTTTTTCCATTTTAGGGAAATGATGAAAACAGTAAAAGTGGTCTAAAATAGTCAAAACAGAAATACATGAATAGAAATTCATTGAAATTAATTTCAATTCCTAGATATTAATTTCAAAATAAGGCACAATTTCAATAGTAAGAGGTAGAAATCTTGCAGTGAATTTGGCCTGACATAAAAGAACACCAACAACATTACATTATATGATTGTTTACCACTTCAAAACTCAGGTGCTTAAAGTTTACAAAAATAAGGCTTATTATTCACACAAAGCCTATTGTCTGTCACAAATGAAATTAAAGCACGTTTACAGTAGTTCATTTCCCACATCACAATCTTAATCGAACTATTCATCAGTAATCTATTCTAGCCTCAACAAAACTGAAGTTAGCAGTTAATAAAGCCATTTGGCAATATATTTAGTGCATACTTTCCAAAAATGTGATATATGGCAAAGCAATGCTTTTAAAGAATTACTCAATTGTGGTAATGTATTTGGCACAGAGAGTCTGTTCAATTTCTATTGTCTGCATATGAGGAATTTTGTTTTCGATTCTACTTTTAAGGCACGTCAGTTCTGTAGATTTTCCTACATTATGTGATTGTGCATTCAAGACATGGAATAAAGTAAATTCCATCCGTTTCATAAATGTAAAAACTGCAGCTGGTGTTGAATCTGGTTTTCAGAATCTAATTTGGAGAAATTAGCGAGATAATTCTGCAGATGTGCGAGGAACTTTTACACTTAGGGTTATGTGTAGAATTTGCATCCGAAGAAAATAAAAATAAATAACTTTTTTTTTTTTCAGACATGAAAAAACACACCAGCGAAGCACACCAATCCCAGGTCACAATTTCAACTCTTATGGAAAAGGAAAAAGTGGAGCGTATGAAACAGTCCACACAGGTGAGCCTCTCAGAAGCGTTAAAATGCCTTCACCCTCAGTATGCGGGAGGCTGATACCCTCCCTGTCCCGCAGGACTGGCGGTGAATGGGGACTGCTGGTAACCTTCTGGAGCACCAGTATATGCTGAAGGGTACGGGGAAGTGTGGTCACTGGATGGATCATTGTAGCCTAGGCCAACCTCGTCCATCCCTTGGCGGTATCGTCGTAATGCGAACACAGTAAGAAGGGCCTTGAGAGAAAAAAAAAGCGTGATACTTGTTTCAGTTTATCAAATATACAAGGTGACCGTCAGGCAGAAACAGGAAGTGAGATGTGCTCACCCAGGTGGCAGTGGAGAAGAAGGAAAAGGCCACCACAGCTCGAGCTGCATCAGCTAGGACGGCTGATTGAGTAGTGTGAGACCACTGATTGGCTAGGATGCAGAAACACACAAACCACAGGAATGTCCACACACCTGATGAGAAAGCAGAGAGGAACGTAAAGGGGTTTGTTCACCCAAAAGTGAAAATTCTGTCATCATTTACTCAACCCCAAACGACTCTTGTTCATCTTCAAAAACACAACTCAAGATATTTTTTAATGAATCCTGAGAAGTTTCTGTCCCTCCACTGAAATTGTATGCAACCAAAACTTTGACGCTTCACAAAGTTCATAAAGACAAACTAATCCATATAAATCGTTTGTTCTAATGTGTGATGAATGCATATGCGATACCATATTTGATGCGCTCCATGTGTGGATCATAAAAAGTAAAATAAACCCCTTAATTTTAATCTTTTCATCATATAAAGTGATCAAACCGCAGATTTATAAAGATTTGTTTTAAGATGCCGTATGACCTTTTTGGATCTGCGAAGTTTTGGTTGTGCAAACTTTCAATGGATGGAAAGAGCACATGAGTAACAGAAAGTATGGCTCTGTTTCAAACCATAATGAGCATTTAAGTCATCATAAGTGTGCCTCAGACATGAAGCTGGCAATGTTGCTTTGTCCACTAAGACATCACTGCATGTATCCTTCATAGAGAAGGAAATGAGCTCCATTAAAAAAAAAAAAAAGTTAGCCAGTTAGATAATCATAAGTATACTTGTATTTCATTAAATACTGAAAAATATTGATAAAAAAACAATAACACATTTTTTATCATTGAGACGCTATTTATTCTGGTTTCAAAAAAATCCAATAGTTGTGTGTACTGTGTATTTTAATGCTCATTGGAGCATCGGGGTCATTCCTATGTTCCCCAGATTTATATGGCACGAGGGATACATGTCCACCAGGCTATAAAGTATGTTCTAATTATCATACGGGTTTAATATATAAACCAGCATTTATAGAGGGGTTTCTATCTGTGTTGTTCAGTTGAACTTGTATTAAATTGTACTTAAAAACTACTTTTCCTGGGTTGGGTTAGGGAAAATGTGTCCTGACCTTTTAAAAAGTTTACTTAATGTATGTTACCAGGCCATTGAACTGGGGAACATATTACCCTTTTTTAATGTTCATTATGTGCCATATATATCTGGAGAACATGGGACCCTGGAAGCATAGGTATGCTCCGAGAGTATCATGTTGTTAGCTTAGCAACATGCTAACATCATGGAAACTCCACTGGAATTGACTGCAACTTTTTATTTCCTATATAGATGCTGTTCCACATCACCCAGTTGTGAAGTTCCATGACAAACGTGACGCCAACATTTTAGCCTTTGAACTGCCTGGTTGCTAGTAGACCTTTTTAAATCTGGTTGCCCTAATAACAGTTATAAACGCCACAACTGTGCCAATTAGAACTTGCACTCTGATTACTTGAGCTCTACTCGCTTTACTGTGAGATGTTAGAATACTTCTCACAACTTTTGACGTGTCTCTGGAGATGTCCACATACCGTTGGCAAAAGTAATGGATGCCAGCTCTCAATGAACGTAAATTTAGGTCGCTTTGTTGTTGCATTCGCTGGCAGTGTGAACTGAGCTTTCAATGCTCACTCCCTGTTGAAAAAAACAGCATATGCTGGTTAGGTATGCTTTGCCAGCACATGACCAGCATAAACCAGCAAAAGGACCAGCATAAACCAGCAAAGGACCAGCTTAAACCAGCATCCCAGCGTCAAAACATACCTAACCAGCATATGCTGGTTTTTTCAACAGGGCTAGGTTTTAGATCCAAGCAAATATGTGGTTTTTAGACACTGTCCGATAAATAAATGCATTCTGCAATTAAACTTAAAGTGACTGATAAAAACAAAAATCTGTAATAGTTCTTACCAGAGAAACAAAGATCACCCAACACAATGTATTTTCTCTCGTTGGCATTGCTGATCTGGGGGAAGTAGGCATCCAGCACAATGAAGACAACACAGGCCAGGAAAGCTAAAATCCCAACACCAATTCCATAGCTGCAAGCACTTTCATTCTGATTGAACATGCATTTAGTGATGTCTTCATGCTGTTCATTCATGTAGCCTTCAGAAACTATGGTAGCAAACACCACTATGGCGAAGAGCTGTGATGGAAAGAAACAGAATTAGTGGCAACAGCAGAATCTCTTTAATAATGCATCATCACAGTTGTAATCACACACACCAAGGAAACTACTACTGAGAGCGTTTACAGAGAACAACAGTGTCATGTTTGAATGGGTGGCGTGACGCCCTCACAAGATGTATCTACTTTGGTTATCAAAAAAACCGACAAACAAACAAAAAACTATATAAGACTATATATTTACACAGCAAAAGAAGAATTAGGTCAGTGATACGGGCATTTAGACCCCTACATCTGCTTAAAAATGCTCCGTCAAAAGATTTAACATTTAAAATGCACTATTTTTTGTAGCTTAAAATGTGTGCTTACATTATCTTTCTTAAAAACATTTCTTTGCAGTAGATGAAATAAAAAAGAGTGGCCAGTGTAATATGTAACAGGTGATGAATACTGTTGTTGTAAATGGTTCAGAAAAGAAAGAAAGAAAGAAAGAAAAACACTCAAACTAGCTGCATAAAAGAGCTGTGCTATGTTGACATGTTGACAAGTCACATGATGCAGACCTCAACAACAAACTCCCAAACTGCTGCTGCCATATGGTCTGTGTTTTGCAACTTGTGACAGCAGAATTTAGATTTGCGCTTAACTTCTGTTAAACTAACAGTTTGAGGCCAGCGGCAGTATTACAAACTTTCACCGAGTAGGAGCACTAGCTCGATTAGCTAACGATGACTTTGATATAGCTCACCCAACTGAACAGCCTGGCGATAGTCTGCGGTCGCTTTAGAAAGCTCCAGAAATCAAAGGCTCCACCGGCCAGCGATGCACCGTAAGCACTCGTCTCCATGTCCGCGTTCGTGACACTCTGGCCCCTCTTTATTTGTCAGCGCTTCGGCAAGTTGTCCAGCTTGATGATACGCTGTTTACTTTAACAATTGTTTCCTGAAAGTAACGCACCACCCTTCAAGGAAGTACACGTCACGTCAGAACGAGTACTGCCACATTATAATATTTGAACCGCCCCTGTTTATCTATCTATCTATCTATCTATCTATCTATCTATCTATCTATCTATCTATCACTTTAATACTTAAATATAGGCTGTCATTCTGTTGATCAAGTGCTCCAGCAATCCTGCAGGTTTCAGTAATCAGCAGCTATTTCACATATGCTTAAATTAAAAAAAAAAGTGCAAAGACGTTTCCAGTGTTGTGCTGTTTGTTCGGGTGTAGTCCTGATGTTTCATCACTTTGCACACAAGGGTTTGCCCTTGAGTTTACACAGCTCTATGGTCTGACTGCAGAAACTGAGCACGTGGCCTCAATCTGTAGGACACGCTTTAAACACCGAAATACTTTATGTTGTTTGTTGTGCTTTTAATGATTCTTTGTGAACTGCGTAAGTACCGATGAATATAGTCTTCTAGGTGGCGCTATTAATCTACTTTTAATTTAAATGCTCACCTAAAAATGAATAATTTTCATAGCTCCACCCTGTTGAAAAAAACAGCATATGCTGGTTAGGTATGTTTTGACTCTGGGATGCTGGTCCTTTGCCAGCACATGACCAGCATAAACCAGCAAAAGGACCAACATAAACCAGCAAAGGACCAGCGTAAACCAGCTTAAACCAGCAAAGGACCAGCTTAAACCAACAAAAGGACCAACATAAACCAGCAAAGGACCAGCATAAACCAGCAAAAGCCAGCAAAGGACCAGCTTAAACCAACAAAAGGACCAACATAAACCAGCAAAGGACCAGCATAAACCAGCAAAAGGACCAACATAAACCAGCAAAGGACCAGCATAAACCAGCAAAGGACCAGCATAAACCAGCAAAGGACCAGCTTAAACCAGCATCCCAGCGTCAAAACATACCTAACCAGCATATGCTGTTTTTTTCAACAGATGTCTTCCAAACCTGAAATCATTTCTGTAGTGAAATACATCAAAATAATGATATGTTGAAGAATGTCCAGTCAAAATTTTCAATATATTGCGTGTGTGTGTGTGTGTTCCATAGAAGAAAGAAAGTCATACAGGGTTGGAATGGTATAAGTAGCTGATGATATGAATTTTCATTTTTCGGGGGATCTGTATCAACTATCCATAGTTACTTCAATACAGTGGACCCAAAAAAGTATTTGAACATGTAAGCCTCAATTTAAAATGCATTAATTGTGTGTTGTTTTTTTTTGTTTTTTTTTGTAGCCTACATAGTAAAAAAGTGCCATTTAAAAAAATAAAATAAATATAGCATAAGCACACTTTTCAATCAAAACATACACAAAATGAAGTTTGTTAATATGATTAAAAAAGAAACAGATGCAAAGCTGAGTTGCACAAAAGTGCGAGTGAATGGCTGCATTCCAGAACTTGCTGCATCTTTGCAGTGTAGATGGAGATGCTCTCTGACAGACACAGAGGATTTCATTCGGTAGAAAATTATTTAAGATACATGTTTTAAATCAGCCTTATTGCAGATGTTATAGTAATGGAAGCTACAGTTGCCATTATAAAATACATTTACAGTAAAATACCAAACTCAAATCCATACTGTTTATAACTATCTAATGTGTTGTCAAAAGGTGTGATGAAAATAAGACACGGCCATGAGGTCTGTAACGTATGACTGAGTCTGTTATAGCTGACATTTTCAGATGAAGGCTGAGTTACAGTAAGCAGTCTCTACCATGGTAAGGCCTCTGTTTACAATTTCACATACCACACTGTAATGTAAAATACCTGTCTCCCTATACACAGTGTTGTTTGTGATAATAGTACCAAACCAAATAATAATAAATAAATAAAAAATTGTAAGACGTCAGCTCGTTCTTGTCTTCCTCTCTGCACGTTGCCTGTGGTTTGTCACTTTGTATGCAGTCTGTCAACTGTGAAAATGTTTCTGCTTATTCACAGAATGGGTACTGTTGAAGTACCAGTCACTTTTTATACGTATGAAAACTTTGAACAGTGTATCTTCCTTATTAGACTGTGCTGGAAACTTTGCGTAGCAGCAGCTGTTTAGGTGAGTATTGCAATTGGTGGTACTTTATCAGAACAGCTAACAGTCTTAAGATGAATGTTATTGAATGAACAGCTAAAGTGGGTTGATAGAAAAACTACAATTAGATCTACTGCGATAGTATACTTTAGCATGCTTTATAAAAGTACATACTATGAAAATAATATACTTTAAACGAATATACTTAATCTTGAACTGAATGTAATGTTTGCAGAAAATTTGTTTTGCATGTTAACTTCAATTAAATGAAAATGTATTATAGTTGAAATTTATATTAAAGGCAGGTAATTGAATATACAAAGGCATTCACGCATTTCTTTAATGCCATTTGTAATGATTAGCTTATTTAGCTTCAAATTTTAACATCAAATAAAACACTACAGTTACATTATAATCAAGTACTTTACATGTGTGTTACTATGTAAGTCAACACATCATAATAAGTGGACTTCTTTAAAGCATCACAAAATATTCCTAAAACAGTGATTTCAAATGTGTTTTAAAGTAAAACGTATAATTTGACATTATTACAGAGTGGACTTTAGTCACATTGTCATGAAAGTGTACTGTCTTAAAGCACAATTTTATTGCATTAATATTATAGTATCTGTAAGTAGTTTTTTTTTTTAAATATACTTTTAAGAATGGACTACAATTAAGTGCACTACACCTTTTTACAAGAGTAGTTTAATGTAAGGAATGGACAGTTATTTAAAATATATTTTTAGAGAATGTTTATTATGCTATGGCATCTTATGATGTTGCTTTTGACGTAAATGAAAGACACTTTTTGTTTCTGTTGTAGATTTATGGGGTTTATATCACTGTAAAAAAAATTCAGTAAAATTTACGGTAAAAAAACGGCAGCTGTGGTTGCCGGAATTTTACCGTAAAAAATACGGTAGCAACGTTTTAGGTTTTAACTTAAATTTACAGTTAAATACCGTAATTTCATTAACTGATATAATGTTAATATACCAACCTATTGAAGTACTGAAATCTGTTTTGTAACTTTGTAATACACTGATAACCACCAAATACAGGTGGTGATGAGAAAGTTACATGATGAACCAAAGCCCATCACAAGCAGCTTTTAAATAAAAACATATATAGAAGATGCACAGTGTCATTCACACAAACACTAAACACCATCATGGTAACACACATGAAACTGAAATAATGCAATAAACATTCATTTAACAACATTAGGTGTAATACACAACCCTAATATAGAAAGTTGATAAGAAAAAACTAAGAAGAAACATAGTTATTTAAACAAAAAAACATCAAATTTAAAATGTAACGCAGGGAATTCTGGGAATGTCAATTTATTACAGAGTGGACTTTAGTCACATGGTCATGAAAGTGTACTGTCTTAAAGCACAATTTTATTGCATTAATATTATAGTATCTGTAAGTAGTTTTTTTTTTAAATATACTTTTAAGAATGGACTACAATTAAGTGCACTACACCTTTTTACAAGAGTAGTTTAATGTAAGGAATGGACAGTTATTTAAAATATATTTTTAGAGAATGTTTATTATGCTATGGCATCTTATGATGTTGCTTTTGACGTAAATGAAAGACACTTTTTGTTTCTGTTGTAGATTTATGGGGTTTATATCACTGTAAAAAAAATTCAGTAAAATTTACGGTAAAAAAACGGCAGCTGTGGTTGCCGGAATTTTACCGTAAAAAATACGGTAGCAACGTTTTAGGTTTTAACTTAAATTTACAGTTAAATACCGTAATTTCATTAACTGATATAATGTTAATATACCAACCTATTGAAGTACTGAAATCTGTTTTGTAACTTTGTAATACACTGATAACCACCAAATACAGGTGGTGATGAGAAAGTTACATGATGAACCAAAGCCCATCACAAGCAGCTTTTAAATAAAAACATATATAGAAGATGCACAGTGTCATTCACACAAACACTAAACACCATCATGGTAACACACATGAAACTGAAATAATGCAATAAACATTCATTTAACAACATTAGGTGTAATACACAACCCTAATATAGAAAGTTGATAAGAAAAAACTAAGAAGAAACATAGTTATTTAAACAAAAAAACATCAAATTTAAAATGTAACGCAGGGAATTCTGGGAATGTCAATTTACGGTTATTCACTGTAAATTATACGGTCTATACGGTCCAATACATGTAATGTCCAATACAGTTTTTCACCGTTTATAGTAGGGGAATTTACCGTTAACCATTTGACAGGTTTTTACTGTTGCATTTTTACAGTCTTTTACCGTTAAATTCACGGTCATTTTTTACAGTATAAAAATGCTCTGAAAAAATAAATCCCAGGCAAATATTGGCTTTTAATATGAAAATTAATTTCTGATATGGCTTATCACCTATTGCTTACACAGCTCTAGACAGTCTGGATGGCTGCATCCCAGATCATGGAGATGACTTCCAGTGAAGATGAAGACCAAGACCTGATTGAGCTCGAGGCTATTAGGAGACCATACAGAGCAGTGAAATGTGAGTACTACACAGCATACAGACAGCCTGACATAAATCCCATAGGGAAGAAATAACTTATTTTAACTCTAACTTCTAACTTTTTTTCTGTTTGTAGTTGATCTGACACATGCAAATCAAGAAGCTCAGCATTACCATGAGCCCAAACACACGGATGCCCTGCACAGGAATAGCTGGTCTTCTTCAACCCAGAAGGTCCTGTCCTCCATGCCTAGCCGCTCTATCAGTAAGAAAATGTTTTGATGCTGTTTTTTTAATATTTGCACAATTAATAAAATCATAGCTGTTCCACTAAAATATGCTCTTGTGGCTGTAATATATGAATTTTATTGCATCAGACAACAAAATAATAGTATATGCAAACAAACCCTCATGAAAAAGAGTATACTTTTAGTATACTTTTAAAAAGAGTGCTGATTTCGGAAATAATAAGTGTATTAACACTTAAGTGTGACATGAATGTAATGTTTTTGGACTCTTAGTTGCAAGTTATTTACAATTGCAAATTTACAAATGTATATTTTAAATGCATTTAGTTAAACTAAAAAGTACTTTTTGACCCACTTAAGTAGGACTTAATGTCCTTTAAGTAGGACTTAAGTACATCTTTATGTAATTGTAT